GTTATAGCTTGGTTTTGCAAATGATCCAAAAGTGTCTCTTTGCAAAGTATGAAATAGCTCAAAGACTTGTTTTTAAGGTGATATGCATTGTACATGTGACCAAATCTTGCCAGTCTTTATACCAAGGGTTTATATGCCATCACTTTGTCTGGGGTGGATGGTAGGAGTAAGATTCCAAAGTTGGTTCTCCATTGGAGTTTTATCTTAGACAAATGACTGAGAAGTCTGTTAAGGGCTGTTATCCCTTTAAAGCAATATTCTGACAGTAGTGCTAACATAGGTAACTTGGGTCTTGAACTCTTCATAGAAGCTTATAGTCAAATTTTTATTTTAAAGACAAGACACATTTTTAAAAAACAACTCAACTGTACATTTAAGCTAAACTTTTCACTGGGAAGCAAGAAGAATTTTTTTATTTAACAAAGTCAGAAATATTTTGATATTAAAGAAAAAGAGATTAGTAGAAACTTTTTCATTTAAGACTGATGTAATATTTACCGGGGTTGATTTGATTTTTACAGCTTAACTATTTACAGGGAAGTATGGATGGAGTGTAATGATAGTTAACAGCATGGAACACAGATTGTGAACAAATTCTAGCTCAGAAACCTCAGGTCCACACTTCATACTAATATCCTTGCAAAAGGCATGAACCCTTATTTGCAATAGGTTAGGTCAAGGATAACTTCCTGCTGTTAGCCCAAAGCAATGAGTGATGCAGGCAGAGCTCTTCAGCCCTTAAGACAGTCCATCTAAGAGAAGGCTACTCTGACAAAATCCTATGGCTTGGCAGTTGGCTTGGTTGTCTCACCACCTTTAAAAATCCAGGAAAGGCCACCAAACCTAAAGAGTGATCTCAATGTGTGCAAGCTGATAAACTTTAAAAACCAGTGCAGGTAGAGTTTGTATTAAATAGACAGACCATCCACTCTTGAGTCTTGCAGGCAAGAAACAAAGCAACAAAGTTCATAGAAATTTAGATAATAGAAAAAATGGGATGATATTTTTTTTTCTTTAGCAACAACTGAAATGAAGGACTTAAAATGCTAGATTAGAAGGAAAAATTAGAATGGAAGGATATCAAAATGCCAATAGAATCTTTAATACTTACAAAGTCAGAAATATGAAATGGTTTTAGCTAGCTTCAAGTGACAAGGAAATAAATTTAATTGAAAAGCTTGTATTTCCCTGCTGTTACAATGACAGATTCTTGGACCTTCAAAATAATATAAAAATTTGTTATGGCAATTATATAAATATTGCAGTGGAAACATTCTTGACAGCTAATAGACAACTTGATTCAAATCAGTTTCTGTGGTCGGAATAAAAATTTGTTAAGAATAAGTCACTTAAAGGGTATAGGTGGTAAGAAATTGACCCTAAACTGGGCAGATTTAAATAAAAAAAAAACAAAAAACTATTAAATTGAATTAAAATTTTCCTTCATTCTCACAAATCAAGATTTAATTTTAAGAAAATAACTAAATAAAGATAAAATTATCAACACAAGAGGCAATTTCTAAGCCCACTAGATTTCTAGCAACTTTTACAATGTACTTTGGGTATTTTCTTATTTTGTATTTGAAGAAAGATGAGCATCTAGTACTAACCTCCTGAATTAAAACAAAACTACAAATTTGAGGATATTTTCACAAAATAAGAATCCATCATGAAGTCTCAAGAGCAAAAAGGAGTCAAAACATGAAAGAGATAGTGGTTCACAAAATAATGGCCATAGCTAATTGACCAGACAATAATAGAATAATAAAGACTATCTTAAGTGCATACTAAAAGTCAAGAAAACTGAAGATAATAAAGGAAAGAAATTCTTATGACTAAATAAATCATTATAAACTTCCTGACAAATTTGAGTTAACTAACCACACTGTAAATAATTAATTACTTTTACTTATTCTTACCAGCCAAAGAAAATAAAAAGTATATCGCATTAACATGAGTGTCGCTAAAACATCATCTGATCTCTTACTGGTATGTTTAAGTGAACCCAAAATTTGAATTGAACTTTGGCAATAATGTCAATTGGTGCATGCAAGGATATTGACAAGATAGACAAGATGATATATCATTTTTATAAGGCGATAAGGACCAACAGGATAATTAAATTTGATTTTTAGAGATCAGAAGGCAAGGAGAAGCCAATATATACAATCTCTGTAACAGTCTTAAAATTATGTGTAAAAATTAGACAGTAAATTTCAAAGCACAAGACTAAATTCTGTGTCCACATAACTGCAAAGCTAAACATATGCAATGAAAGTTTTGTAATGAAGTCAAACCAAAACAGAATAACAGTAAATAATCAGCAAATAATTCTATCTTAACCTTTTTTTTTATTATTTTCATTATATCAATGTCAAGATCATAAAAAAAAAAACAAACAAACCTGTAACAAATTAATATTTGGGTAAGATGGCTCATTTCTGTTGCCAACAAAATCAAGAGACTATGCCTGTAAAATTTATTTTATGAAATAAAACCCAATCAAAGCCAAGTAATTAGTCATAAAACAATGTACAAAATGACAATGTTGAATTACTGTATTTGATGAGGGCATCTAAGCTCCCTCCCTGAGTCATTTACATTTTATATTATAGAAATATGGACTTAAGCGAGGTACAAGTGCTGATAGTTTACAACATCTAGGTAAATATTAATTTACCAGATACCTTAACTTCACATATAAGACCTGCAAGATATCTTTTTGAAAAAAAAAATGTGGAGGAGGAATAAATCTTAAATGCTATCAAATACAGTAATTATTCAGACTTCTTCAATTTCAAGGCTTTTTTTGGTTTTTCATGAAATCATGAACTGTTAGTCTGGTCTCTACAGACAATTTAAAATAGTGTGGCAATAAATGTAATATGAACAAGTCATGTGACTTGAGCAGTGGAGAGAATGCAGATGAAACTGTATGACTTGAAAAAAGGCATACAAAACCATATTTTTTAAAAACTTTTATTTTTTTTTATAATATATGTATGTAGGAAATTTGAAAGAAGGCTGCCATGTGAGGTGTATAGTTTAAAAATGGCAGGAGCAGGCATCAAGGCATGTCCACTCCAAAAAGATTTTTAGCAGCATACAGAGAATTGTTGCAAAGACTTTGAAGATTAAAAAAAAAAAAGTCTGAGTGAAAAAACTTTCATTTTGTTTTATAAAAAGGTCATATATGTTTTTTGTAACAGAAGATAAAATTGTTATATTTAGTGTGTGTGTGTGTAAATACACAGACATAATTGGGCTGTAAAAAACAAAAAATAGTTAGAAGATACTCCTGTTTCTGAAAAGGATTATCTTTAAGAATCCAAGAGAGGAAAAAGGTGGGAGTGAGAAAGAGGGAGGGTTTAAAAGATATGAATAAACATATTAAACAACAAATAATGATAAAGTTTTTTTTCTTAGTGGGAGGAAAAAAAAAAAGGCAAGACAATAAAAAAAAAAAAAGAAAAGAAAAAATCAACGAAACAATTAAAAAAACAAAAAATAAAAAAGGAAAATGTGGACTTGACTGAGATTTTTCCATTTTTTGCTTTCCAATATCTTTTGATCAAATAAGAAAAAAAAAGTATTATATATATATATATATATATATATATATATGTAAAATAAAAAAAAAATCCTGAAATGGAAGTTGACTGCAGATACTGTCATCAAGTGGTCGCAGGGAAAGTAGGTGGGCAGGTGCTGGTGGGAGATGATGTTGATAGAATGATACAGAATTCACTAACCCAGCCACTTCTTCCTCCCAGGCCATTCATAATCCATCTTCCAACCTTCCTTCCCGAAGCGACCAGCGGTCCCTCAATGAAAGAGAGTAAGTGGTGAAATATACTGGCTGACTCCTGCAATCTGTTCAAAGAATATTATCAATCAATAATAATAATAATAACGTCTTGTTTTGTTAAAATCTTTTTAGCCTTGCAGTCAATAATGATGAAGCCAAACAGTTATTAACCAACACAAGTCATCACAGATAATAAAATAGTTTATAAAATCTTAATAATAATCTCGTGCCCTTGATTTTCTTTTTTTAATATTTCATATATTTTTTTCAGTTTTATATATTCAAGTAAGAGTGGCTTTTCTTTTCCACCCTACACTCACACCTTGGTAGTTTTCCATTTTTTTTTTTAAAAAGAAAAATACAATCATTTTCTTTTCTTTTCGTACTAGGTCTGTCCTCAATTTATTTATCAATTTAAATTTTTTTCAAATGTGTTTTTTCCCCACATGTTATTCTCTCTCTCTCTCTCTCTTTAAATTACCATCAAGAGATAATGGCAGGTGGGGTTGTGAAGAGATTTTCAGTAAAGCTCTTTTGGTCAGTGGAAGTTGTGAATTAAAAATACTTGCAAATAATTGCCACAACTTTTTGTCTTGCTTATAATTGAAAAAGATTAAAGAGAAAAATAATGGAAAGCCACTGACCAAAATAAAAAATTGATTGAAGATTCAACTCAAAGATTCCAAATATCAGCACCTACCTGCAAGACACAGTTTACAAAGAAAACTTGTACAAGTCTATTGGGTCATCTCTGTTCTGTTCTTTCAATCACAATTACAATAAAAGGTGATTATTTTTCTCTCTTTTTGTCCCTGTGGTATGATGCCTGACAGAACAGAGTCACTTTACAATTTAGAAAAAAATAAAGGAGAGACAGGAGAAAAAGAATGGGGAATAATGGAAAAGGGTTAAGATCAGTATCAAGAGCTCCCTTTTTCTTCAACTACGACAGAGTAGCTGCAACACACATTTAGGTGAAGAGGGAGTCAATGTGTCCCACACAGAGGTAGTAGATGGTAAACAACAAAAGCTGAAAAGTGGTCACAGGTAAGGAGCTACCATCCATGGCAGAGTGTGACACCAGCTACTATGCACATCTGAGGGTCAGATACCAAGTATACAATGTCTAGACACCATGGGTCTTTCTTATATTTTAAGAATAATTTCTGCTGGCAGCACATAACCAAAAAATCTAGGATTCTTCTTCCATTGGTTCAGCTGACTGTTCTGATTCTGTTATCACCGTAGAACCACTGCAAGGAAATAAACAAAAACAAGAAGAGTTAATCTATTGTTTGCACAAAAATGACAAGAAATTCTTAGATGTGGTACTGTCACATTTGTTATTTTATTAATAGTTTTATTCCATCTTATTATTTCTTTTTATCTGAACACCCTGGGTCAATCCATTCTTCCTTATTACTATTATTTTATTACTAATTTTACTTTGTCATTTTTTTTATTTATCCAAAGTCAATAGGGTCTGCAGGGCATTGTGATAAACAAAAAAAAAACAAACTAAAAACAAGAGAATAAAACTAGCAACGAAGATTAAGATTAAAGAAATACTAAATGAATAACAAATTATTTTTTTTGTATCTTTAAAACAGCAACCATGGGATTTGACTGCAATTTGCAAAATATGAAAAAACAAATTGACGTTTAATGAAACCTTTCACATAAAACAGGTTTTATATAAATTATGATAAATGAAAATTATTTTTATTTGTTTCTGAATTTTAATTGATTGGATTAAAAACAATTTACAAAATTCAGAGAAAAATTAAAAAATGCATGGCTAATTTTATGCTCAAGTGAACATTGAAATTTGTGAAATTCATTTTTTTTTTGTTTCAAGCTACAGTTTTTGCATATTTGGTTTAATGAGCCAGTTTATAAACCAGTAAATTAGAGTTCAAACTGCAGTTTCAAACTGAAAAAAATCTAATGACAGATCTATAACTGTTGATCATGGTAGATACATCATGTTTTGAATTAGGAGATTTGTCAGATGAAGGAGCTACAACTGTATAAGTTAAATATGTTTATTAAATCTAAACAAAAGAATTTAGGAATTAAGGTGAAATTTTGAAGTATTATGAGTTGTGACTTCATGAGGGAATAATGAAATCTTACCTTTTTGCAGTAACCATGGACAAAGAGGCAAGAGCAGACACTGTGTCAGCTTCTTCTATTTCCCGCCTCTGGGCTTCTATCAACGAGTACTGGATAGTTGAAAGGTAACGTTTCAGGCAAGGCCAGTGATTAGCTGAAATTAGAATGGGAACATTCAAAGATGAAAGAAATTTAGCAATAAAGAAATCAAGTACCCCCCCCACAAAAAAAAAACCCATCAAAAACAATAACAGAACTTTAAAAATAATTTAATAAATAAAATGTAAATCAGAAAACAATAGAAAATATTTCTTTGAACTGAGGAATTATTATTATACATTAATCTATTTGGACTAATATACTTATCTTGGTGGTTTATAGTCATTTCTATCTGAATTTCAGAGACGAGGAATTATTATCATTATACATTAATCTATTTGGACTTGTATCCTCATCTTGGTTGTTGTTGAAGTATAATTATATATTGATCTATTTTGACCAATGTCTTTATATTGTTATAATTACAACAGCAAAATGCCATAGTGGATATAAGTTTTGATTACCTCTAGCTAATTGGAGTTTCTGAGTTCAGTCTCAAATGAAATTAATCTCTGGTCTAGTGGTAAAAGCAAAAGTGACATGCCAAATTCACTAAAAATTAAATAATGAACAGCATCCTCTAGCAAGGACAGTTGAATGAAAACAGTTTACTACTCTAGATTGTATAAAAGGTTTGATTTGAAATTAAGAAGGTTACCTAACACAACAGACACCTGAGAAGGTCAGCTAGTAATCACTAAGATAAGGACAAGCAATAATAAACATTGAAATACAAAGAACTGTGAGTGTTATTTTCCAAGTTAAATAACTTGATAGGGCACAAAACTAAAAAAGTGTGAAGTTATTTTTATTAACTGTCATTTTAAAAAGAATTATCATTTTTATTGTGACCACAAACATCTTGGACAATACAAACCACAACCATCTTCCAATGTAGAAGGCAGAGAGACATCACTTTTTCTAAAAAATGGTTTGGTTTGTTTTGTGGCATAGACCTCAATGGCTCATTTAATGCTGACAACTTTCTTTTTCCTGGTAATATTTTTGTTAAAAATCTATTTCAGTTAATATTTTTTTTCCTCAAAAATGTATAGCTGGTAATATTATTTTTTCAAAAAACGTATAGCTGGTAATATTATTTTTTCAAAAAATGTATAGCCGGCAACACTATTCTATTAAAAAACAACAACAAATAAAACAAAAAACGTAAAGCTGGCAACATTATTTTTTAAAAAACGTATTATCAGAGGCCTTGCTGTTGGACATAGTTTTTTCGTCTTACCCAGGATGCGGATGTAGTTTATCGTCATACCCAGGATGAGATCTTGTTTTGGGGGTTAACTATTTGCCCATAGCTGGGACCCTAACAGGTGCTACCATCCCGGGTCAGGTGGACCTGGGAACACCAGCAATTAGGGAGGTGGTTCCACACTCCTCAAAACCTCCTGATCAGAGGCCTTGCTGTTGGATGTAATTTATCGTCTTACCCAGGATGCGGATATAGTTTATCGTCATACCTAGGAAGCTCTAAAAAATAGTAGCAAACATGCTAACTGATCAGTGATGTATATCAAATAGATGTCTCTCTTCATAGTACAGTGTGCTATTTTTATATATATATATATATATAAACTTAGCAAGCAAAGAATTGGACAGCATGTACTTGTAGAAAAACTATGGAATTAGCATAGTTTCATGGGTTGTTGGTGCATGTGGTCAGGAATGAGCTACTATCATTTTTCTCTTTGCTATCATTGCTGACAAAAAGACCCCTTCTTTTTTATGGATTGTACACTACTTGAGCAAGGATGGTGAATGGATAAAAGCTTGTTGTTAATCACAAAAACAACTGATTTCTCATTTGTTTTATTTTCCTAACAATTCAGGATTTCTAAGAGGAATTTTATCAGGAGGTATAAAGTTTATTTAAGCACCCACTTCCCTTCTTCATTAGTCATCCTGTTTTTATTCCCTACAGGTTTTATACCCTAAGCTGTGATGCCAAATAAAATGGAAATTTTCCTGAAACCTCAAGAAATTCCTCTGCCTCCTTTGGCTCTCAAACTATGCCAGTATAACAATCTACCCATTACACCTCCGTTTCATAGGCCTTGTAACAATATAGTTGAATGAGTTACCTTGAATTTTTATTGAGCTGTCAAGTGTCTCCAAAGCTGGTTTGCAGCATTCTCTACAAAGCTCAGTCTTCTGGATTGGCTGAAGCTGTTGGAAGGAGAAGAAAGAAAACTTAATTACATCAATTTCAATGTGGATATGAGATTTTAAATAATGTACAAAAGATTGAATATATATAATTTCTCTCTCCAAGTCACATTGTCATGATTCTGTAAAATTCCACCTATTTCTACTTACTGGATACATTCAAGAAAAACAACAAATCAAAATCAAGGAATTTGATTACATGGACACAGAGATTTCCAGCAGGAATTTACCTGAAGAAATTGCTGATCAGTTCATAAATCAATTGCAATACAAAATTTTTGAACAATGTGTAGTGGGATTAGCAAATAGGATTTTACCTTTTTGCATATGTTGGTCTATATGAGAAATATAGTGTAGAGTAAAGTGTCAGACACGAAGAAGTGGGTTACTGATCATGTGTCATAGAACAACACTATACAACAATATGGTGTTGCCAATAGGATGTTCAAGTTGCTTGGACAAACTAGAATTTGTTGAGACTTGGATCTGATGTTTTACAACTCAGGCTAGGGCTAAAAAATTGAAAGACAACAAGGCAAGAGGTGGAGAAAATGAAATAACCAACCTCTTTCTAACTTTGGCAGGTTGTGAAACCATAATGAAAATTTCTATTATGGCATACTCCAAACAAATGGAGAATTTAACTTTTGTCAAAATTATAAAAAGTTTACAACCTAAAAGGAAATTTGTCATAGTAGAAAGAACCAAATTTCTGTCCATTAAACAGAAACAAGATGAATCAATTATACAATATCTTCACAGATTAAAAGAAGCTAGCAGATTCTGTGAATTTGAGAAACTGGGAACTCAAGGTTGAACTAAAGAGAATGAGTTGATTCAATTACAGCTGATTGAAGGTATAGCTGATACATTACATAAATATAAGATATTGGAACAATTGAATGATTTGACTATAACTCTCTGTGTGGAAGTTATACAACAGCTGGAATTGATTAAAACATATAATTCTACTGAGGACAATGGTTCAAATGTACAGTATAATAAAGGAATGCAAGAAATGCAAACACTGTAACTACGAGCAACAAATTGACAGAAAAAGTGCTTTGCTTTTGGAAAAATATGCTGTAACTGCCAAAGAAAAACTCATTTTCAGTCTGTATGCAAAGTTAAAAAGAAAATAGACAATATAGAAAAATTGGTGACATTTTTTCAATACAAAGATCTAAGGAAAAAAATTCTTTTGAAAAAATTAAATGGCATGACTTTTCCAATGCAAGTGGATACAGAGAATGAGGTTACTCCAATACTAAGGAATTTCTGGGAACAAATGGGTAAGCTGAAATGGAGAAAATGTCACTTGAAATTGAGACAATTTGATGGATCTTTTATAAAAAATACTTTGGGATACTTCAATGGAACTTTTGAAACCTGTGATGAATTTGAAATTATTCTCATTAGAATAGCAGAATGTAAAAAAATTCATAGACTACTAGGTGTTGTGGAGCAGCTGAACACCGCCACAAAATGGACTGATCTAAGACTATTTAAACAGCACTGTCTCTTACTGAGAGAGAGAGAGGAGTTAATGATTTATTACATTTAGTCTGTGTTCTCAACTGTGTACAATATTATTCTTCAGAACAAACTACTTATTTTCTATATGTGTTGTCAACCTTTTCTATTTATGACAATATAAGGTAGATGCATTGAAATTAATCAGTAGTATAAAATCAGAAAAAGTAAAAATGGGAGGGTTAAAGGGGTATAAGTGGGCATAAAATTAAATGAAAATAGTAGCCTCCCCCTATTTTTAATCTCGTAAATTACCTATTCACCTACCTTTTGTGGATGCTAAGTTTAGAGAAAATGGTAGAAGAAGGTATTTTGGAGCATGTTCCTCCAGGTAGTAGTAAATGGGCCTCTCCCATTGTAGTTTTGGGAAAAGCAGATGGAGACTACATATTCTTATGTCGTGATTTTAAAATAGGTGTAAATCATAAAATATGATCAGATTCATTTCCTATTCACAATATTAAAACTGCTATCCACAAATTATCAGGCATTAATTTTTTGCAAAAACTGCTTTAAAATCGGCCTATAATCAAATACAGATTGATGATAAATTCAAGGAAATTATCACAATAAACACCCTCATAGGATTATTAAGATAGAAGAGAATGTCTTTTGGAGTGAAAATGCCAAGTGCCATTTTTCAGAGAGCAATGGAAAACATGTTAACTGACCAAATTAGTAACATGATAATTTATCAAGATGATATCTTCCTCAGTGCCAACACTAAAGGCAAATAAGGTCTCCATTAACAATGTCTTACTCAACAAATGAAAAAACGTAGTATAAGAAAGATAAAGTAACAACTCCTCAGAGAGGTAATTTCCTTATGCAAAGGGGACATACCATGGCCATTATATCAAAGAAAAGAAAAAGCGTAATGGCCCAGTCTGACCAATTAAGACCCAGAATTTAAGAGGAAGATGTGAGGTTGACAGAGAAGAAAGGATGACTTCTTCAGATTATAATAATGCAATAGAAGACGAGCCTATGGATGACAGCAGGAGTATCTCAGACATGCAAGACAATGAAATAAGACTAAGATCTCCATTAAAAAGAACAGGAAGGTCAAGAACAACCAAAGGCATTGAACCTCTTTGGTTCAAGGAGGTGTAATAAGATTAGCAAATAGGATTTTACCTATTTGCTTATGTTGGTTATAGGAGAAATAAAGTGTAGAGTAAAGAGTCAGGCAGGAGGAAGTTGACTACTGATCACATGTCGTAGAACAACACTATACAACGCAACAATTTAAGAAGTCATTCTACTTCTGGTGCAGACATGCTGATGAGGATAAAGTATCAGACAGGCATCACCAACAATAGCTTGAAGGGGAATAGTGTTTCATGCTTGAATGCAATCTTCAGACCATGTGTATTGGGTAGTAGACTATTTATATATGCTGGTCAATGAGGCATTATGTTCAGGTATTTCTGGTTTATTGAGTTATCTTAATGGTTATTAGTTAGATGTGAACGGTTATATTTTAAACTATTCTAAATGCTATTGAGCAGAAATAATCATGAATCATAAATGAGGCTATTTTATAGTGTTGTTTGCTAACCTTTAACTCATTATTTAATATTCTTTACTTAGGGTATTTTGTATTTGTTCATAAATTATTAATTATTGTTGATTATTATTAAATTTACTTATTTGTGGTTATGTGTTTATTCACACAGTGCTAGTTTATGTATTTATTTATTTACCTCATTTTTTTCGTTTTTTTATTGGGAGTTCAGTTATCTTGTTTGTTTAGGTTGAAGTACTAATTTTGGTTAAAGTATGTTACATTATCTGCATTGTATATAGTACATATATTTGCATTTTTCTTGGTGATGGTATTTGTGTTCAATTTTAAATGAATGTAGTAAAAATTTGTTTTCATGTCTGCATTTTGTGATAAGTTCTCATTTATTTAGTAATTTTTTTTTGGTCTGTGAAGTTAATTATAGATATTGTCTCCTCCAGACAAATTTTTACAGTTTTTGGATTTATTGTTGTAGGCGGATGCTGTTTCCCTTATTTTTTATGATATTACATAAAACTGTGGCATCAAGTAACTATTTTGATCATCTATATCTAGAAGCATGTATCATATATCTGACCCATCTCAGTGGTTTTTGTTTAATGGAGATAAATAATTTATATATTCAGATTTAAAAAAAAAAAAAAAAAAAAAAAAATCAAATTTTTCAAAATATTTATTTCTAATCTGATGTTTTGTGGTCTTAAAAAAAAAGTGATTGTTTTCTTGATGGTTGTTGTTTATAATTGTTAAGTTATATGACACTGGGGCATCAAGGGGTTAATAAAACAAGAAAGAGGAAAGAGACTATTAACTGGATGACAATAGCTGAAATTTACAGGAAGGTGGATTGAAAAGTTGAGAAGAAAATTAAAAATGAAATGTGTTGAAAAATCATGTTTCAAAAATAATAAAATGAAATCCCAAACAGTTCCAATTGAATTGAACCCAAATTAGATGGAATTCAGTAATGTTGAGCAAAACCAAGACTACCCGTTCTTCCCAAATTCCCACCAATAAGGAGGAGACAATTAATGTATCCTTGAAGATGTTGATCCTGAAAAACCCTCAAAAAACAAGAACCCCCCCCCCGCCCCCAAACAGAAAAAAACATGTCAATAAAGAAACCTGGATGATCACCAAAATAATATTTAAGATTGTTCCAGACAAAGAGCCAGGAAAAACATCTGGTTTAAATTGGCCACCCAGAAGAAAAATATCCCTACCAAAATAGAGATTAGTGCCTAAGATTGGGGATGTGTTCTTCATTTTAATTTCTGTGACATTCATCAAAGATTTTATAGCTGATATTATTTTGGATTCCTTTGGATAAAAGGGATAAAAAATAATTAATTACTAGCCTTGGAGTGACCATAGGCAGCTGGTCGATCGAAAAATCACCTAAAAACAATCAGCATGAGACAAGCTACATATAAACTGGATGTTTGGACAACTTAAAGAGTCCCCACATTACTGCTACTGGAATGCACTTTGTTCACAGAGACCTCCTGACCAAGACCTTATGCTAGCCCTGAATACCAGAACATGGAAGTTTAAATTATTACTAACACAGGCTGTAAGCTCCAGAAGGGCATCCCAGTGTCATTTGATTATAACAGTAAGTGGTACGGGTTAAAATTGCCATATACAACAAATCATATATAAACCAAATTGTTGTTACATTTTTAACCAGAGTTGATTCTTTATTCTAAAGAATTCTTTTTTGTGTAGCTCCTTGCTGTTGACCTGTCCTTTGCTCCAGTTTGCTTCACCAGTAATTTTCTCATCCTCTGAGATCAAAAACATAACATGGCAGAGGAATGAAGGTTTGTGAAGCAGACAAACACCAGCTAGATCAAGTGGAACTATGCTCTTCAACACGATACCAGTGACACACCAGGAATGTGTTGAGTGAGGAGTCAGCTAGATGGTAATGACAGTGGTCTGAAGGAACTTGAAGACCAACGTGGGGAATGCAGGGTTACAGTTAGGCCATTTTCTTCCCTGAAAATGATAATGAGCTTAGCATTTCAAGTTCAGATTGAGAATATGAAAGGCAAATAAGCAGCATTGACATTTTTAAAAGTAGACTTGGGAAAGCTAACAAATAGTAATCATAATAATAACAATGTATATGAAACAAACCACTACTGAAATGTTTTAACCTAATGAATTGCTTTAGTTATGACAATTTTGATTATACCATTCTATAGCACAGGCAAATATCACTGATAAAAGAACAGTTGCATAGTGCATTGAAGCAGAAACTTAGTCCACACAGCAGTAGGTATCATTGCTAGTATATATATATGAGGTGGTATTTCTTGGTAAGTCTGACAACTTTTCAGCACTACTAGTTTTGTGTTTTTCTTTCTTACTACTGAGGATAATTCAAGAAAATATTTTTTTAGAGATGTATTCATTTCTTCAACCATTACTAGATAAAAATCTGTCACCATATTCCAATGTTTATGATTTATCAACCATTCCATTTTCTATTAGAAATTATCAGAGCAAAATGTTTTATCTTGTTGAAGAACTGCAGCCATTATAAGTCTTCTCAAGCAAAACTGGAGAATAGAGCATTCTTTAAGATGGTCAGAATTCTGATTTATAAATTATATTTTAAGAGATTGGCTAGACAATATTAAAAAGAAATATATAATTTTGTACAAGAATTTTGCACCCAAATTGAATTATAAATGTTTAAACATTTTATTTTAAACAAATAACTGTGTTTACCTCATCTCCAAGAAGAGCTGCTACACATTTTTCGGAAGCATCACAGATACATGGGAGGTCATAACCCCCTTCAAGGACCAGCACCACTTTACCTCCGGCAAGAGACATCATTTCACGAGTCATATGACCAAAACCTAGCATTAAAAGGAAAAAGCATGAATAAATAATTCTGAATGCCAACAATTACTGCAGCAGCTACAAAGGGGAATGACAATTTCAAGTAATTAACTCCCCATGCAAAAAAAAAAGAAAAGAAAAAAAAGGCATTGTCACCAGTACCAAGTCATTTAGTAACTTTAGAGATAGAACAGTATGTAGATGTAAATACAACATTTTTTATATGACTTCTACATTTTTAATTTTTATTGAGATAAAGCATGGCCAACCATATTTCAGGATGTAGATGATTTCTGTTGCTCTAATTAACTTCTTCTGCTTTACTACCATACTGATCTGTCTTAGCCCTGTTCTGTTATCCACTCACAAACTTGTGTAGTAGATTGATATTTCCTTCTGCCCTTCTTGCCTTCAATGTCATGTGAGTGTCAAATTCTCTAAGCTCCCTTTTCTTATTATGTGTTCCAGAAATTTGTTTCATTTTTTTATTGTGAGTGGCAGTTTCCTTGCAGCCCCTATTTTCCTTAAGACATTGTTCACATATTTTATCTACAATATATTTAGTATTTGTCAGCTAGATTACTTCTCTAATGTTTCAAGTGTCTTCTTTATCTGTGAGGAGCCCATTCTACATTTGCTGCAATATAGGGAATTTGATATTACATAGCAGTTCAGGACTCTTTTCTTTGTTTCTAATAACATTTTCATTTCTCTTAATACTTTGCTTAATCTTTCATTATTCACATCTGCATTTGGAATTCTGTGTCACATTTTTGGGACAATGGACATAAATGGGTTATTATAAAACTATAATAAATACTGGTTTTTAATTATTCCTACTTATCTACAACCACAGGACTTCACTAATTTGTCATATTCTTCAGTTATGATTTTGTCCAAATCCTACAGTTTTTGCCACAAAACAGTGACTTTCATCAGTTTCCTTACTCTGATACTTTTGCCACTGATGATCCAAAAATTCTCAGACTGAAATCTCGACTTTTAATAGGCCATGCCTTAACCCCAATTTTTGTCAGTTTCAAAACATTGTTTTACAGTTTATGTAGTATGACAAGGGACATCAACTTGCATAAAGATGTGCCCAGGGACAGGAGATATTCTTAGAGAAGATACTATTCAATAATATTTGTATATTGCATCATTTACTTTGCTACGTAACCAAATGAGTAGGCCAACATCAGTATTGAAGTGCATCCTCTGCATGAATACACTATGATTTAACTGATCCTCCTTTTTCATACTTTTGGGAAGCAATCTCACACCAATATGCTATCTGACATACTGCTTTCTGGCAGAAGCAACCAAATTCAACTAATCCCATTGAAAAATACTCTTGTTCAATTTTCATTCACCCAGATAGTCATTTGCAAATGTTAGTCTAGTGTTTTGCTTCTTCTAATGGATGATTGTTTTAGAAGACAGAAGAATGTGCATTAAATGCTGTTTCATGTAAACAATCTGAAAATCTTTTCTGAGATGCTTTCATACCAAATTCTTTGATTACCTGACATGCAATGCCCATCACTGCATTAAAATGACCTACCAAAGAGTGTCTTTGAATTACCTGATTGTGTCAAGGAGTCATTAAATGGGTTTGCTTTGGTGTTTTAGAGAAGCCATTAAAAAAGAGTACTGAACTGGTATGTAATACTGGTCCTCCTATATAGAAGTGAATGCTGGACAATCACAGATGAAGGAGAGTCATGAGGCAACAAAAATGTGGTTTTACAGAAGAATGCTGAGAATTCCATGGACTGAACATGTGAGCAGTGATGAAATTTTAGGGAAAATGGAAACAAAAAAGGACACTTATACTTAACATCAGAAAGAGATAGTTGAAATTTCTAGGGCAAATAATGAGGAAAGAGGGCGGTAAATTTGCTTTATAATCCCTGCTCTAAATAACTATTTAATTTTCTGAAATCATCATATTTCTGTGTAAATGTACATGCTGAACTTGAAATAACAATTAAATTATGATAAAACCTACCATTTTGGAGTTATTGACAAGAAAAATTCGAACTCAGTCGCAGTCATTCGTCCAACATTACTGGCTTTGTGTAATTAGATTCACTACAGATAACTTCCGTTGCACAATCATAAGTTTTTGGCCTATTTACTGCTGTTACTTGTCTAAATTACTGCACACTATCGTAAAGCAATGACAACAGCCTTTTAACAACTCTTACTCATCTTCTTTCAACTGTTGTTTTATAGTAAAGCTTTCTTTTTAAATAAAAAAAAAAGAATTAAGATAAAAGAACCCTAACTTAAACAAAATAAAAAACCCCAACCCCTAAAATAAAACCTTAAAATAAAAGAACCCTAACCAAATTAAAATAAAAAACCCTAACCCTAACCAAATTAAAATAAAAAACCCTAACCCTAAACAAATTAAAATAAAAAACCCTAAACCTAACCCTTTGTAAAGAGCAAGATTTATGTACAAAAATAAAATTACAAAATAAAAAAAATGCTAGGAACGAAATAAGGTTTTATTGTATTTGTTTTTTATTTTTCCACTTTTCTATACAGAAAGAAAGGGTTTTCTGTTAAAAATAAAACACTTGATACTGTTCTGTTATAAATAAAACTACACATATCAAAAAAAAAAAAAAAAATCGTCCACATGTTATTACTTTATGAGAGTGCACAGTAATTTAGACAAGTAAAAGCAGTAAATAGGCCAAAAAGTTATGAGTGCCCGACAGAAGTGATCGGCAGTGAATCTAATTACAGAAAGCCGGTAATGGCTGACCATGACTGAGTCTGAATTTTTCTTGTCGATAACTCCAAAACGGACGGTTTTATCATAATTTGTTATTTTGAGTTCAACATGTACATTTACACGGAAATATGATGATTTCGGAAAATTTAAATAGTTATTTAGAGCAGGGATTAAAAAGCAAATTTACCAAGAAGGCTTAGAAAATTTGACACTCACAGGACATACTGTAAGAAATAGGAGCAGAGGAAAGCAGTGCATAGCCTAACAAACTTGTGTAATTGGTTGAGAGAACAGGATTTAGGATTGATAGCAAGAAGACAAAAAAGACCTACAAAAGAAAAGAAATTGTGGAGAGCCATGAAAGGATATGGCATATAGTAGAAGATTATTATCATGACTTTTCCGTATTCTAGAAATTACACTCTTTGATCTCTTAATCATTTTTGCAATAGTATTTGTTTAAATTATGGTGTCACCATATTTCATTGGGAAATATTACATTTTTACTTTTATAGAAATCATTCACAAATATAAATGACAATGTTTGTTCTCTAACCTTGGATGTTATATTTTTTGTATTAAACAGTTTTTCTTCTGTAACTATTTATCTTTGATTCTTTTTAATACAAATTTACCAAAGTATAGGACATTTTTTATGATGGAATTTTGTAAAACTAAAGATTTTGATTTTTAAAATGTTCCCTAATATTGGATGCTGCCATATTTCCACATATATACTTTCACATGTATACATGCTGAACAGTTCTTATCTTAACCAATTTCCCAAATTTTGAGGGAAAGAGTTTCTTAGTATGGCTTAGAACTTTTTAGTACATCCTTATATATATATAATTAATTTCAGTTGAGCTCTCCGGGGAGGAGGTGTGGGTTGGTAAACAGTGACTATTATAGCTATATAGCGAGACTCTTCGCAAATGTGAATTGAGTCACTGTCGGTCACTGGGCGTGTTTCTAAAAATAAATACGCTAAAATCCACCTTCATCCCTACTGTGCGCCGACGGCTTAATGGTTAGAATCTCCGACTGACACCAATTCAGTCGGGTTTCGATCCTAGCTAGTGGCAACTGGATCTCTAGCCACACTGATGAGCTGTGAAACAGCGAAACAGTCCGTCTGTGGATGACGTTATATATATATACATGTGTGTGTGTGTGTGTGTGTGTGTAAACACACACTGATACTCACAGTCAGGACTGACGTCATAACCTCCAAGCGGGGCACGGTGACCAGCAGCAGCATCAAAGCCAGCGGAGACTAAAACAATATCTGGGTTGAATTCTCTTGCTATGGGCATGATGATTGTCCTGAAGAAGCAAGAAATAAACATCAAAGTTTTTTTTTCAGACATTATTCATCAGTAAAAATTTAAAAGGTTAAAATGATCCTAAATGTTGCTTGAGTTCTAAAAAAGTATTTTGATCATAGCATTTATTATTTAGACTATCACCTTCAGCATTTTTATTAACACTATTTGGTTAACATTACTTCTAAAGACTAGTATTTTCAGTCAAAATTTTTGTATGTCACTATAACTGTGTAACCAAGACCTTTCAAATTGTCACTCTCATGAGAGATATTGATGAGACAATCTCCTGTAAAATTCCAAGACTGTTGGTCGCATAATTTACACAGGCTATTAAAATTTTTATCTTGATGCACATTATTTGGTTTCATTGATACGAGACCAAATAATGTGCTTATTACTAAGTCTACATCATAAGTAAATAAGCAATTTTCTAAATACTTACCATGCTTATATACTTCCATTCATCAATGAGATAAGTCAGCTTTTTGACACTCTTTCAAAAATATATACTGGACAGAACATTTGTCTTTGGCATTTTTAGGAATGCATGCAGCAGTTAAAGATTAAAATCCTTAACTGCTGCAAGCATTCCTAAAACACAAAGTGTTCTTTTGCAAAACTAGTTTATAGTACCACAATGTGCCTACCTAGCCAATTAGTTATTAAAATTCCTACTGAGAAGGTAGATAAATTACAGTTTAAAATGTCATGGTTAACTTTTACAAAGAATGTATTCTCATTATTTCTGATATTTTTGCTGTCGTTTCCATCTTTGCTATTTCTAACATTCTATCCGATATATTCTTTAACTTTTCTACTAGTGTCAGCAGATCATCTATTGCGCCAGATTAAGGTACATTATGAAGTGCCATATTATTTATTAGTGTGGAAAATGGCATTAATGAAAGGGATTCAATATAAGGTTTGCTATAAGCAAACCACTCTCTAACAATACCCAAGCAATAGCAGCAAAAGGCTGCTGCTTCCAGATGACTTTTCAATGCAGTCCATGATTTTATATTATCATAAAATATTGTTTTTAATATTTGTCATTATCTCTTGATATCCTGAGGTTTCATTTATATTACATTATGAATCTTAGCTGATTTTTACTAAGAGTTGCATACCTGTGAATAATTTTTTCTTTACTGCTTTTATATTTTTTATGTAATTAAAGTGATTTTGATAAATAAGTTGGTGTTATTTTTTGGTTTGGTTTTAGGTTTAACGACTTATCAACCATTATGGTCATTTAAGAGTTAGTTTTTGAATTTTGGGATCACCCTTTTTTTAATGGAGTTTATTTGTTTTGAAGTTGGTGCACATGTTAGATTGGTTGTACACATTTTTATTTTAATTAGATTTTGTTGTATAGTCCTATTTTCTTTAAATACGCCATTAAATGATTTATCTTGGTGTGTTCAAATAGTTCTTTCATTGTTTTTGTATTGTAGTACTATTTTTTATTTCTTTGTGTGCTATTTTGTTATTAATGATTATAGTTGTACCGCCTGAGGCTTTATCAGCCTGTTTGTTTATGTGGTTATATAAGGTGTACTTTTTAATGTTTATTGTCATTTTCTTTCAGGAAAGTTTCTTGTAAGCAAACAACATCAGAGAGTTGATTTGAAATGAGGAGTATTAGTTCATCCAAGTTAGCTTTCATACCTCTTATGTTCCTTTGGATTATTTTATTTGCTGTATTTCTAGATTTTTGGTGATTTGTTCTTCAATGCCCAGTCATTGTTTCAAGAGATTCAAATCTGTTTTCAGTTGAATTTCTTGTTTTTGAAGTAGAGCGTGATCTATCCATCTTGGGTTTTTGTTTTGGTTTGTCTGGAGGGAATTTTTTTCCTTCTTTTTCTTCATGTGCTGGATTTGAAGTTTTTTCGGTTGTTTTTTGTGCAGTTGTTGTTTCTGAAGGGTTTGCATTTTGGGGTTGTGTTTGGGGTTTTGAAATAGCTGAGTTTTTATTTTCAGATATTTGTGAGTTGTTTTCAAGTTTTGTTTTATTTATGCTTTTTAATTCTGTCATCAGTTCCCTCATCTTTTGTGATGTCTTCCATTTTAATGTTATTTTCAGTTTTGTTTATTATTTTCAAGGGTATTTTTTTTTTTTGCTACTTCTGCATATTTTGTGGTTTCTACCATTTGTCTTGCTTCCAGGTTGGTTACATTTTTTGTATATTTCAAATGAATTTCTTTTTCTTTCTTCCATGTTTCACAGTTTCTGGAATTGGCATGATGGTTTCCCTGACAATTGATGCACTTATAGTTTTTTTGGCAGTCTATATGTATGTCTTGTTCTCCACATCTTCCACATACTGGTAGACGTGTACAACGGTCCTGGTGGTGTCCATATCTTTGGCATTTAAAACATTTCAAGGGGTTCGGGATGTACTGCTCTATTTTTTCTATATTATAGCCAATTTTTAGTTCCTTTGGTGTGGTGGGTGTATTGAAGGTCATGATGTAGATATTTGTTTCTTTTATTTTTCCTTCAATTTTAGTTGTGATTCTCTTCACTTCTGTTACTCCCTGGTTTTTTAATTCTTTTTTTTATATGTTCTATTGAACATAAAATTAATTCTCTACTGCGTATCACACCTTTAGAAAAATTTAACCTTTCATGAGGGTAGGCTTTAACTTTCAGATTATGAAACTGATTCATTTTTAGTAGAGAATTTGCATATTTTTGGTTTTCTATTTCAACAAGTAATGTTCCATTTCTCAGTTTTTTAACTGTTTTTGCAGTGATGTTTTGGGTTATCACTTTTTGAATCAGGAAAGGTGACAGGGTACTTAGGGAAGTTTTCTCAATTGATTCTAATACAATAAATCGGGGAAATGTTTTCTTATAATAGTTTTCATCCTCGGAGTCTAAATCCTTATGTAGTCTCTTGGAGGTTTTTTTTTTTTGGTAGCCATTTATTGTTTTAATTTTCTTCATTATCCAAGCTTCCCGCCCATCTTGGAGTTCAGTGTTGGGTAGCAGCCAGCGGGGAAACCCATTCGTCCTGGCACTACCGGGCTACATGGATAGTATACTCATATATGGGAAACGTCTCGAGCACCCGTATGTCTTTAGTTTCACTGACCAAGTCCAGAGGCACTTCAGGTAGTATACAGCCATGTCGTGATCTTTTGTTCCCACACTGATTGACCCTAAGCCACCGCTTTCCATCACATTTTAGGAGTAAGTTGTTAGTATAGTTAGTGTAGGGATTAGGACTGGGAAAGTTAATTGTAAGTTGTAGTTGTTTTGGAATGGGTTAGATGTGATGGGGCATGACATGACCAGCCGATTGATCGGATCGGGCCTCTCCGACCGCCTGTCTAGCCCAGGCAAGGGTCGAAGTGGTGTGTTGCAGGGTCGTGACCACTTTATACCTGGGTCATGACTTGCTCAACCACCAGGATCCCGTCTCCAGACATCACGGCTCGCCACCCACGGCCAACAGGTGGTTCCATTGAGAGACTTTTACCCTCTGCAGGGGGGCAGTTGGCATATTCTGATACCCCACTGAGAGGGCGATATTTTTTGGTGGTTTAAATTGGGTTGATTATGTTAGTAGCTCTAATTAGTTGTTCATGAAAAGTACTTGTTCATCAATGTTGTAATTAGGAAAGTCATTATTATGACATGTTTAATAGTGGATAAATCTTTATAGAATATTGTTGTAGAGAAAGATTAATTTTGCATGGTTGATAAAGGTTCTATTTAATAGAATACACCCCTGGTCAAAATCTTAAGACCAGATACAAAAGGGTTAAAAAATATATAAAATACTGTTACTTTAATCAAAATATATTTGCAAAACATTTAAATTTAATTAGAAAATGTAGTTTATGAACAAACAAGTGAACATTTTAAGCTTTTAATTGAGTAACCAAAAAAATCCTTTTTTCAATGTTCAAATTAATCAATTAAAAGCTTAAAATTTTCACTTGTTTGTTCATAAACTACATTTTCTAATTAAATGTAAATGTTTCGCAAATATATTTTCATTAAAGTAACAGTATTTTATATATTTTTTAACCCTTTTGTATCTGGTCTTAAGATTTTAACCAGGGGTGTATTTCTTTTAATTTTCCTCTTACTGTTTCTTCCAGCAAATCCTCTTTTTCCTCCACCCCTTCTTTGCTTTTCTGAATTCTTTCCCACTTAATAATATTGTTTAAGTTTCATGGTTAGAAAGCATAAGTTTTGGTTTTGTTTTTTCAATCATTTCACCCCAAGCAAGTATATAATGCCACTAAGACAAAAGGGATTACCAGGAATGAAAAAGACTTCTGTGAGGAGAAAGGACAATAAAAGAACAAGTTTCTAGAAGACAGAAGATTGCAACTGGTGTGTGTTGTGTTAGACATCTTCTGTCACTAGATGGCAGAAAATAAAACTTTCCTGTTCTAATAGAATTATAAAAGAAGAATACTGAGACCTTGAAGCACTTAAGACAGATTCTGTGTGATGTCATACTGAGGAAATATCTTGGCAATCAATTTTTCAAGGACAATCATTTTTTATTGACTTCCTCCCCATTTAGACATTGTCCTGAATCACAGTCTGCATCACTACTAGAGTAGGAAAGCCTCCCCACAAAGTCTTTTCTCAGCAGTTCCAAGGCAAACAAGTTAACTCACAAATGATTAATATTTTTAGAATACAGATAAAAAGAAATCATTTACATGAATAATTTTACTATAAGGTTGTGGAATAGAGTCTGTCTGAATTTCTAAGTTTAGGAACTACTATTATAATATGTCCATCTGTTTGGACTAATGTCTTCATTTTAATAAACTTATTAAGGGATATGTAGTAAGATACATTTGGACAGTATGATAAATATAAGTTTTCTGGAGAATGTAGAAAGGATTTTGTACATCATAAGTAGGTGGGTAGGCCAGTATGTACAAGTGTATTTATATATAAGTTTGTTTGTTTTGTTTTATGGCATATCAACCTCAATGGGTCATTTAATGCCGCCGACTTTTTTTTTTCCTTTCCAATAATATTTTTGTTTTGTTAGAAATCCATTTCTATCAATATCTCTTTCCTCAGAAATATATAGCTGGTAATAGTATTTTTCCAAAAACGTATAGCTGGTAATAGTATTTTTCCAAAAACGTATAGCTGGTTATAGTATTTTTCAAAAACATATAGCTGGTAATATTTTTTCTTTCAAAAATTTATTTCTGGTAATAATTTTATTTATTTATTCCTCTACAGTTCCATTGAAGTATCTTATGTGTATTTGTGATCATTGTTTTCCTGTTTTGGTTCAGTGGATTACTTTGTCTTTTAAGGTTTGTTTAGGTTTTTCCTTTCAAAAATGCATTGCTGGCAACATTTGGTTTTCAAAAATGTATTGATTGCAATAATTTTTTCAAAGAGGTTCTGGTATTAAAACCCATTTTAACACGTTCAGTGTTTTGACCCCAGTTACAGTTCCACTGAATAAGGTTTTGTTAAAAAAAACGTATAGCTGGTAATTTTTTTTTTTTTTTTTAAACGTATAGCTGGCAGTTATTTTTCAAAAACGTATAGCTGGTAATATCGCTTTCCCAAAATGTGCTGCTGGCAACATTATTCCTTCGAAAACATATACCTGGTAATACTATTTTCCCAAAAACATATAGCCGACAACCTTATTTTTTCAAAAACGGCCTTTCTTTTGGACGTAGTTTATTGCCATACCCAGTATGCGGATGCAGTTTACCGTCATACCCATGTATGCGGATATATACAAGTTTGGTGAGAATTGGCAGAATGGTAATTTTATAAGACAACTTCAAAAATTTCTTTGATGTTTTACTGATGAACTGGTTTTATTAGAAAAATAATTTTATTTTTTAAAACATGCTAAGCAAGTGCATGCTTAAGTTTTACTTTAACCATATCATTATAGAAATTAGATTTTACACAACTCAGTTTTTATTTTTTATTTCTTTACTCTTAAGTTCTTTTTTGTTTCATTTATATTTTTATTTTTTTCATGAATGTTTACATATTCCACATTGTTTAAGTTCTGTCTTATATTAAATTTTTAAATGATATTTAAGCGTTTGTCATAATTTTTCTTACAAGTTCAATGAAGTTTTTGGGTAAATATAACAAGTTTAGTTATTATGTTGTCATTTATACATTCTCTTTTTTATGTTTTTTTACTGTTTTGTGGATTTTGCATGCTTTTCTTTTGATATTGAAATAAATAGGAAAGGAAAAGAGGATTTACATTTTGTAAAATTCTTCTGCTGATAGCACTGGTTCATGGGGAAAACATATTAAAGTTTTCAAAACTGTATCATACATATCTTATATATTATGAAATATTTTAAAGTTGTTTTAGAATGTGCAGGTAAAAGCAAAAACTCATACCTCAGCCAAGAAAATAATAGATAATTTCAAAGGTGGCCTCACCTGAAAGCTGTTAAATATTCTGCATCACCCATAGGAGGATTGAGGCATCCCCCAAAAGCAATGTTAACATTAAAACCAAGTCCTTCATCGGCACCACATTCTTCAGGAAAACCAGTGCCTGGGAAAAAGTTGCCATCATCATGTCGATGAATTGATATGTACAGGACTGACGGGTCGTGATAAAACATTTGTTGTGTGGCATTGCCATGGTGCACATCCTGAAAGAGTGAGAAAAAAGTGATAAAAAGAAAAGAAATGATTCAATTTTATGTGGCAAGCTCTCTTTCTCTCTCTGCCTCACTTAGGTTATATAAGATAGAAAAGCTAAGAAAGGATCCATCTATTTAATATTGATAAAAAAGTAGCCTACCTAGGGCACCTTCGTCCTCTTCAAATTATTCTCCTTTGAACCAAATTTCTTCTTGGTATTTCTTCCACATTTTAAACAGTCTACAAAGTCTGCTTTTGGAATCATCATCTTGCCCACTCTCCTTCTTTAATGGCGTGTTCAGCATTTGGAAATGTCAGAATTTACAGGGTGTCAAATCCTGTGTGTGTGGAGAGGGGTACTAATAGGATGCAATTCTCATACCATCTTCTCTTGTAATGTCAGTCTCTGATTTCTTTTGATTGCAGCCTACATGCATGCAGAACTTAAGTGTTGTAATTGAATGTCCCACACTCCCTATCGTATATGTGGACTGACTATATCAGTAGATATATATAGTAAGCACAGGATATACCTGGAAGACTTGCTTTGGGAATTACTAGCTTGATTCCCTGTCTTTCAGTAATGTATCCTCTTTTAAGATAAACCTCTCTTTCTTTCATCTACGCCTGTGTTGCTGTTCCTTTCACTTGAGTACCACCTTTTGTCTGTTTGTAACCTTCTTTAAGGATTACAACATTATGATTGTTAGAAGACTTCCAAAACCTTAATTTCTTTTGATGGATTCCTGACTACATTTGAAGCATCAGTACAAAATTTTTTATCTGGGCTTTGTTCATTGGATCATCTCCAAAAGTCTTAATCCTTCAAATAGTTTCTGCAGACAAATTTTCATGTTACAAGCAGAAGTTGACAGATTTGCTGTAGATGCAATGGTGACACAATATATAAATGAACTTAAATTTAGGGTGATATATTTGATCATTACCGATTGGGTCACTGTAGAGAAAGAGTATGATGTTGCAAGACCTCTAATGATCTATGGCGTACAACATCACTGATGATATGTACCAGTGCATCAAAGCAATCTATATTACTGTTGTGGAGTAAATAGTACACTCCTGGTGAATATATGAACTAGTCCATAACTATAAAGAGCTCCAGGTTAGAGATAAGAAGAAGTCACTGTTCGGAGTAGTCTTCAGACTAAGTAATACAGGCATCACAGCAAGTTGCCAGAGCATTACTTATAAGTGCTATGATGCGTGTTATAACAGTGGCAACAAGGGATTCAAAACTCAGGTGATTTATAACCATTGTGACAAGGATTTTGAAACTCTTATGACATAATAGTAAGAGGATTCAAGAACTCATATGATTTGTAACTGAAGTTACAAGGATTTTGGAAACTTATACTGAGTGAACAAGTAATTTGACAACAAGAATTTTAACCAAGTTGGTTAAAAAAAAAAAAAAAGAAATAAATTTTTCTTGTGTAGAACAAAAAAAAAAAACAATATATTCTTGTGAATATGGAGCAAATTTTGACTTCAATAGTTGAAATTCAACAACAGAAAAAGCAACAACAAAATCAACAGTTGCTTGAACTATATAAAAAAAAATCAACAGGAGTTGTTGGATATAATTCTGAAGAAAACAAAAAATTCTTCAGCATCTCTTATGCCAGATACTGTCCAAAATACCATAAAAGTATGCAATCCTGATGATGGACTGTCTTTTTCTGTGTATTTTTGTAGATATGAACACATATTCAATCATGAATGCAGTGGCTGGGAAGATGAGTGAAAAATGAGATTGTTGTTGAGGAAAATAGCTATGATAGAGTATAAAAATACTGCAACTACATATTACCATAAAAAAACAGATGAAATCAGGTTTGAAGAGACAGTACACATTCTGATGAAAATCTTTAGTGACAAGGTCTGTTTAATACTCATTGAAGGTGCATGAATCTAACCAAAAAAGAGGACAAAGATTTTGTCATGTATGCTGGTATTGTCAACAAAGAATGTGAAAAGTTTAGAATAAAGGAAATAACCCCAGATATATTCAAAGGGTTAATTTTTGTTCAAGATCTAACAGCTAAAAAAGATGCTGAAATACAGGTGAAAATTTTAACAAAAATTGAATAAAACAGTAATATTACACTGCAAGAAATAGTGGATGATTGCCAAACAATTCATGATGCTGAAGAAATTCAGAAAAAAGAATGTGCATTGGTACAAGCAAAGAACAAATGTACAAAATGTTTCAGATGTGGCAAATTACATCTTGAAAAATATGCAGAATGTTACGAGTGTGGTAAATGAGGACCAATTTCAGAAAAAGAAAGCATACAAAAGAACTGGAAGTGGATCCAAGACGGAAATGCTATAAAGTCAAGTATGTTGGTGAATATCCAGAAAGAGGAGGGGGAGAAACTAATACTAATAAAATAAGATATTTATAAAAAGCATTAATCTCAAAAGGGTGGGGGATGTTGTGGAGTAAAATAGTACACTCTCAGTGACTATATTAACTAGTCCATAACTATAAAGAGCTCCAGGTCAGAGGTAAGAAGGAGAAACCGTTTGGAGTCAGTCTTCAGAGTAATACAGATGTCAAGTTACCAAGCGATTACTTATAAGCTCTATGAAGTGTTATAACTTACAAAAGATTATTCATTCTTCATGTGCAGGGTATGTTTATTTTTTTTGTGTCATACTGCTGACTGAGTAATCCCATGGAAGAGTCTATGCTCACATATGTACGATATGTCCCTCTGTTTAGTTGTCAAACTATATCAATGGCAAACAATTGGCTCTCAAGTTATTCAAAATAGTTTTCAGATAGAAAATTACATATACATACACACACACACACACATATATATATATATATATATATATATATATATCTCAGTGAATGTGTTCATATGCCTTCTTTTAGGCATATTGCTTTATTTGTGTCATCAAACTTTGCCCTTCTGTGTTTTAATATTCACAATTCTGAAATAAGTGTTATATTTCTGCAAAGATTTGGAAGTTGCACAATGGAAGCCTAATTCTCATACATACCCAATCAAGGATGAGGATCTTTTCCAATTTCATCTTTTCACGAAGCTGTTTGGCAGCTATTGCAATGGAGTTAAAATAACAAAATCCCCTGAAGAAGAAAAAAAAGCAAGAAAAAGTTTATAAAACTTATAGAAATATTTTTATAACACAATGACTACAGTAACAAAATATGTGAGTTTGTGCAGTTTCAGAAGTTTCAATCAGATGATGATTTTCAAAATTGAAATTAAGTTTTTGTTTCACAAAATTATTTAGAAAATATTTTTTAAAAAATGTTAATTTATAGAAATTTTGAAGTGTTTTTTTTTCATAGTTTAGTAAAACATTCAGTATGAAGAAAAGAAATGGTATAAAAAATGTCTTACATAGCTTGTTGTGCCTCTGCATGGTGTCCTGGAGGTCGAACTATGGCCATACCATTCTGAAATAAAGGCCAGACATGAGAAATTGTTTGAAAAATGTCTATATTCTCATGAGATGTCCTGCTATTGTGTACCAAATTAGAAAATGCTTAGTAAATATATATAAACACAAGTGTGTGTGTGTGTGTGTGTGTGTGTGTGTGTGTGTGTGTGTGTGTGTATACACAGATGCAAAGGGGTGCTGAAAAGTTCACAGCCCAACCAAGAGGGATTCCTCCAAAAATTCTGGTGCTTTGTTATTTGATCAAATTTTGAGAAGTGGGTCAGACTAAGAACTTTTCAATGCCTGTTATTTATATGGAAAATAAAACTGCAACACTGAATATGTGTTTTAGTTTATACAATATTAAAAACACAGGTAATACAGATGGATCACAGTTAATCATCATATATGTGGGTATGCGTATATGGGTCCCAAAATTGAGGGCATATGAACAGCATTGGGTTTCATTAATTCACTGTCTACCTTCTGTGGGCATTAAAACAGCTGTGTTCCTACATATGATGGTACAATCCATTAGTGTCATCTATATGTACAGCAGCCATAGCAACAGTGGTGAGATAGCCAGATGGTGCCCAACTCTTGCCAGGCTGGTTTGAATCTAGAGTTTTCCGTCTTCTAGATTAGTTGCTAACCAAGGCTATAGGATCCAGTCTGTTCTGTTATTTACCCATAGCTACGGTAAATAGCAAAACAAATTGGCCAGTTCTGTGATAGTGTGGTCTAAGTATGAATTGTTGGAGAGTTAGTTGGAATCAGCATCATTGATGCCATTCATTATAAAACAATGGCCTGGCCTGGTGATTAGTAAACAACTCCACAATTCAATCTGGGAACTTTGGTCTTGAGCCTGCAGACAAAGATAGTTTCTAACATTTCTGCTTGATTGTCACTCTTCAAATTGAAACTTCTTAAGTTTTGAAAATTTTCTTCAGTTGAAGTTAAATCCTGTAGACTCATTTTCTTTCTCTTCACATTAAATTCTGTTAAGTTTACAGATCTAACATCAGCTAATAGTTCAGTACTGAACTGCAAGACTATCTACAGATGATTATAGTGGAGAAAGCTTGAGAGAAGAAGCCCTATTTTTTGGAAAAATTGTTAACAGAGAAATGATGCCCAGTGTTCTACAAAGTGTTTTTGTTTCTTGTCATAGGGATAATTTCACTTTTTGTTTCCTTGTGAACATTTCACACTGAGTCTTTCCAAGTTTGTGCACACACATGCAAACAATAATTGAAACACATCATGGGGTGAAGCTGTCAGTGAAAGGCCAAGGCAAGGACCTGGGTGTATGCTTACATTAAGAAGAAATATCTAGAAATTTTTATATTTATATTTATTTTTAAATGTTTTATAGAAATACTAATTCCCATACAAATTGCTGGATAACTATAAATTATCAAACATAATCAGTATTGTTCAAAATTTTAAAAAAGAATTAAAATATTTTCTGCAATAATTCCACATACCTTTAATTCTCCAGCTGCAACTTTGAAGGCCAATTCTATCACACAGCCTGTTGCCTGAAATTCAAAGAAAGATTATACATGAAATGCAAAATAAATCCATATAATTGAACTGATGCAAAAGTTACTAACATTTTTATAAAAAATCTTTTATTCACTTCAATTCATAAGATCATTATTCAGTCATCAAAATATTTTCCCTGAATTTTTATGACCTTATGGCAACTTTGTGAATTTCAAGTCTGGTTTTGATTTAATGAATCCTTTCAAGATACTTCTTCTATCTTCAACTTGTCAGAACAAATAATCAAACAAAGTTTACAATTTCTTTCAGCTGAATACAATTATTACCCATTGTTTCTTTGAACTCCAGTAATATCCTGCTTAAAGAATGAACGTTGAAGACAAACTTAGCAAGATGGCCAGTGTTTTTAAATTGCCAGGCAATTGTTTAAACAAATGACAAGAAATCTGAAATGAGATACAGTATGATAATTTATTCAAATTATTATCCTCATCTTTGTTACTTTTAATACAATATTTCAGATCTTCTCAGAAATATGCATTTTTTTTTTCTTTAAATGTTTAGGACAACTGGAAGCAACTATTTGACATATAATAAAGACGTCAAAAACAATTTTGTCAAATGTGAGTAAAAATTGATATTTTTTTTTTTTTTTTTTTTTTAACACTTCCGTCATATAAAGACACTGTCATTTTTAATTATCTCTCAGTAGATGGCTACGCCAGGATATTTAACCCAAAAGGTAATTTTCAAATGAGAATTATTAGGTGATGCTGAAAAGTCTCAAGTCTGATCAAGAATCCTTGCAAAAGAAATCTGATGTTTGATCAAATTTTGGAAAGGAGGTTGATCAAAAAATATTTCAATACCCACCTCATATAATTTTTAATAAATTCCTTACAAAAGTATTGGGGTTATTCTTTTTATCTATTGATCTGTGGACCACAGGAAATCTCACAATTAAAAATAGACTTCAGAAAAGTGCTGTGAAAACAAAATATTATTTTGAAATTTTAAGATCATTTATTCATTTTTGACTAGGATTTCTTTCATGTTATCTCTCTTGCTTTTTATTACCTGAGAAGTATTAGTTGTAAAAAGTAAGATGAAATATGAGTAAAAAAAAACAAAAATGTTTAGAGAAGAGATTTTAGAGCGATGTGGCAGAACTTACCATGCGAGCAGCAGTTGTAGTATGTATATCACTCCAAACTGTATCAGAATCTACACCAATTCCTCCACATGATAAAATACAAAATCTTACGGGTAATGAATCTGAAAAATACAAACATGATCATAAAGCATACTAAACAGCAATTCATATCATTTATGAACTTTAACAGCATTTGGATATTCAATGAAGAGTCACAAAAAAGTGTACCTCACTTTATTGTACTTTGCAGATATTGCAAACAATTTATAAATTTAAAGTTTGCAGCTAATCAGCTTTTGAATAAAATTTTCACTATTTTTCTAACCACACTTGCTCACTGTGTGTCATATTTTGGTAACATTCTTGCAGAACCAACACCACAATATCTTTGAGGTATGCCCTGTATTTCATAAAAACATTTCCTAATTACATTTTTCTGTAAAAAAAATTGAAAACAGCAGAATTTTTTTTTATCACTCTGCAAAAATTCATTCAACTCAGAAATTTTCATGTGTTTGCGTTTATTGGAAAACCTTTTTGCATGCTAATAACTTGTTTATGTTCTTCACTCAATTTCTCACTTCTACAAATTGAAATGATTACCTCAAAAGTGACTTTGTGACAAAGATCATGATCACTTTTCTACCTTTTGAAAAGTTGGCTTTTAAGAAGAATTAAATTACAGATGACTTCACTTAAATAAAAATTAATTTGTTTTTCTTTCTTAAAATCCCTGCCCCTTTCACAAAAGATGATTTTCTTAAAATCTTTTTCTAATAAAGCAAGCTAAAACAAATATATTTCCCATCCAAATAATTTGACTCATCTGAAAAAGTAACCAGCACAAAGCCATCCTGAAGTGGTGCTCATAAACTTTGGTGTTAACCTCAGTTCAAAACTTAACAAGTGTTAGCTGTCATGTAGATCTGTTAAGTGTTCCAAACTCACCGAATGTGTCATTTGTATGACTTTTAGTAATTGACCATATTGCTAATTGATAGATTTACTTTATTTTCCAATGGTATTTCAAGGCTTTGTGTTCAAATCCAAATAAAAGCCTAAATTTCAAATGCTGATTTTTAAGGTAAACAGGTTCTACCTAGTTTTTGATAGTGAAGACTCCTATGACAAAACAGATTTTGTTAAAAAAAAACAACAAAACAAAACAAAAAATAACTTGAATTTAAAAAAAAATAAATAAAAAGATTGTTTCAGCAAACATTTCTTACACACCTATAATCTTGGGGTCCAACTTTTGTCGATTAAAATTATTTGATCCGTACAATAATGTGTAATTTTCTGTATGACAACTCTGTAATTCCTCTAATGTGGCTTTTCTTGATTTCACCCGCTGAAAGAAAAAAGGAAAATGTCCTCAAGTGAAAATCACACAACGAATTTATGGAAAGCAAAGATAGAATTTAAATATTTTTAGAGTGACATACTTCTGGCTCTTTGCCAGATTAAATTATTTTTTGTAAATATTCCAAGAAAACACCCATCACATGTTGGTAAGCTTGTCACAAAGAACATTCATTGTAATTTCAACACTTCACACTTCTGGCTCTCTCTTAGATAAAGTTATGATTAATAATTATCTATAGTGAATAGAAACTGCCTTCTATATCCAGTTTCTATTTGTGTGTGTGTGTTTTGATATTTTTTATTAATGCTCATAATTTGGCTTAAGCTTTTTTGATTTCACACTTTTGTTCCCATGAGTTAATTAATCTTTACCTCTCTTAGATACTGACAATGGAATGAGTTTAAGTAATGAGTTTGAAACCAGTGAATCTGTTAGCAAAATTTACCTCACAACGTGTCACAAGTCCTCTTTCTTGGAGTCGTGACCAGATGCTCTGTAAACGACCTGCATGTTCAGGATGGGCTGCATTATTTCCACATGAACATTGGTGCTTTAGCATTATTGTGTCATAAGCCAAACCTGATTTTAAAAAAGAAAAAGGTGGAGTATTTTTTAAATATCCCCAAAGCAATGGTGAAAAATTGAAAAGTTACTCTCATAGCAAATCTAATACCTAAATGAATAAAAAAAAATAAATAAAAAAAAGTAAAGACTTTTTTGCATTGAAAATCATAAAAAAAAATGAAATGATTATCATTGGTCAGGATTTAATACAAACATTACTAACAGAATAAAGAAATTGATGCAAATACACTTTGTCAATTTACAGTAGAAAAGCACTAAAAATGAGAGAGAAAGACATTGTCAGTGGTCAGGAATTAAGGCAAATGTTATTGACATAATAGGGTATCTGTAATGTAAATGCATCAGAAATGATTTTATAGAAGAAAGATCAAAAGGTGATTTTACTATAGAAATTAATTGCAAATAAGGGAAAGTGAACATCAATGGTGAGAAACATTACTAATGCGATAATTATTTTGTCTTAGGGTTACATGAAAGCTGAGGGATGAAGATAAGATTGTGTTACAGAACAGATACGTCCTCACCTGTGGTGAATGTGTAACGAACAGGGCCAGTGTCCTGGGTCTGCTGGGGAGGCATTGAAAAAGTAACCAACGGACTGGACTGGGTTCTGGATAAAGGACGGTGATGTGATGTTCTATGTCGGATTTTCAAAAGTGAATCTCGTTGTTGGCCACTTATCAACGTTTCTCTCTCGCGGTTGTTCTGTTGGTCAAGCTCACTAGCTTGTTCATCCATTTTTGTATCCTTGATGACAACAACATCCGCATCATCGTGCTGTCTAGAATCCTTCATTTCCTGGCAATGAAGAAAGGATGGTTTTGGGGGTGGGGGAAAAAAAAAAAAAAAAAAAAAGGTCAGAGATAATAATTTGTTCCAAAAGAAAGAAAAAATATTGTTTAATTTGTCAGATTGTTTTGTGAACTGAGATGAAAGAAAAATATTTAAAAAGGTCAGTGAGCAAATAGCTACAAATTGTGAAAAAAAAAAAAAAAAAAAATGGTAGTTTAAAAAAAAAATTTAGAGCAAGCAGTTTACTAAAATGAAATGAAATGAAAGCAATATTAGATAGAAATTATTGCACAAAAATACATAAATCCATATAAATGCAGCCATGTTGTTTTAAGTTTTTGCACTGTTAATAAGCAGTATATTACTTTTCAAATTTTCCCCCATCCCAACAATTTAATCAAGATGTTATGTACAAAATTAGAAAAAAAAATTTTGCAATACAAATCATTTGAACACTGGCCAAAAAGGGGGAGAAAAAGAGAATAAATAACTAGCTTAAGTTGTACATTTTAAAACAAAGTACTTTGGCATGCAAAGTTAGTTTGGTTATTGAAACAAAGAAGAGAGAACAGAAATATAACAAAATCTCAAATTGACATTATGGAAAATTAATCTGAGTTACAAGAGGGTGGTTATCTATTTATTTTTTAAAAATTTTTTTCATGATCATTTCAATGATTATGTCATTAAGGAATTTTCAAGATTTGATACATGTTTTCTTGTCTTTTCTCAGGGGCAGTGGGTCAAGAAGGGCAGGAATTATGAAGGCAAAGCCTAAGAAGAATATTGCAAAGTGTTAAGCAAACAAGCAGTTGCAATTATAGTGTAATTTTCTGTGTGTAATACATAAGCCTTCTTAAAAAAAAATAAATAAAAAAGGGGATTAAGAGTTAAAACAATTCTGTGCCTGATATACCCAGAGTCTTCAATATAAGGCATTTTGTAGGGAAGAGATATAAAACAAATTTTTCTACTTCTAAAATTTATTAAAAAATATCACAAGACAGCTTTTCATTAAATTTGGTTTAATGGCTAAAATGGAAAGAATGCGAGTAGGAAGATTATGTTGTGCCAAGATTTATTAGAACCCATTATATCATCTATAATAAGTTGTAATAAACATTTTAAATGTAGACAGCTTTTCTTTCTTCAAGAAAGATCTAAAAATTAGGGTTAGGGGGACATGTCCATCCAAATAATAAAAAGGTAGAGAGGGATTAAAGTAACAAAATGGATACCAATTTTGAGTAAACGTGGATGTAACTGTGATACTAAAAGAAAATAAGAAATCATTATATATATATATATATATATATATATATATATATACTCTCCACTGGCCACCGTGACAGAGAAATGTTATAAGGACTCCCTCAAGAAGTCCCTCGGGACCTGCCACATTGACTATCGCCAGTAGTTGACACTTGCTGCTGACCATCAAAGCCTGGTGCCACACTGCCAACGAAGCCGTCTCCACCTTTGAGGACACTCGCAGGGCCAACCTGAAGGAGAAACGCTGTGGGAGGAAGGACCAGGAAGCATCAGCAGCTATACCAGACTAGACTAGACCAGACCAGACCTTTAATTGCAGTTGCTGTGGCCGGACTTGCCTGTTCTGCATTGGCCTAGTCAGTCATCAACATGCCTGCAGTAGACATGGACAGCCCACTTCATAAATCTTTGTTCGCTAAGCCAGGCCAAGAAGAGATATATATATATATATATATATATATATATATCTCAATCATAATAAACCCAAGTTTAGAAGTGTTTGTAAAGGATTTGTCTTTAATGGCTTTTTGTTGGTTAATTAAAGCTGAAACATTTTGGGGATTGTAAGAATCATTCTTTAATTTTTTGTGATTGAATATTGCATTAACAATTTTTTCAGAATAGCAATGACTTTTCTAGGTATGTCCTACTATTTAACCTATAAAAGGGAGATAGATTCATACCTTTCCCAATGGTATTTGTGCATAAGTCAATGTAATGAACCTGACTGGAATTCAAACTCAGCAATTCGATTTCTCATTCTGAGCCACTATCCATTACACCAACTGCACATCTGTATTGGCAATGGAAATTACCCAAATACTTGTAATGATAGATTTGGCAGCACTTATAGTCTTAGCACCACATTTACAAAATTTTTTTGTAAACAACCTAAAACAAAGCAAGAAAACACTGAAAAGTTTTTGACCTGGCCCACTTCCCAAAATTTAATCAAATGACAAAACATCAGAATTTTGATTGAAGGGCTTCTTGGTTAGATGAGAACTCTTCAGTACATTCTTCATAAATAAAATATTTTGAAAATGGCATCCATTTTATTGTTTGAAATAATAAAGATAAAATGGTAGGTTTAAGCCACAAATGTGACTGAAACAAGTCCAAACAGTATAAAAAAAAAGAAAAATATGAAAAATAATAAAATTTAACTTAAAATTTTTTTCAATTTAAATAAAATAAAGAAGATAAATAATTCTGTAATTTTGAGATTAGTCCTTATCCTGTAAAAGTTGTTTGAACCGTTAAATGTCCTTCAGTTTGAGCTGTTTATTTTTGTTACAATATTTTGGCCATCATACTCTGGCCCTTTTTCTCTGTACAATCTGAGAATGGGTCTTTCATTTTTTTTCTCAGCAAATGAATGATAGCAAATATACTAAGTAGACTAACCAATTCTTAGCAACAAATGTAATATTGGTAATTTATTATTTTTATGATAACAATAAAAACAACTCTTTCAGTAAGTTAATTTCTTTTCTTAAAAAGCTTAATTAAAATAATTCAAAAATAAAAATAATAAAATGAAAGATAAATAAAAATTAAAGTAAAGTAAAAATAAATAAGATTTTTCTTAGCCATTTAAAATTTTAGCAACTTTTTTTTTAAATCCCTTAATGACTGCATCAGTTTTTATCTTAGAACTGGAGTTTTGCATTGTGAAAACAATCACTTGACCTAATAAACTTTTAATTGTTAAATTTTTATTTTTGAATCCAGTAAAAAGCCAGGATAAAGTACTGAGAATGAAAATGGACACCAAAATTAACAGTAAAATTTCCAGAGTATCTTTTAAACATTACTCATAGGTGCTGTCAAAAATGTCCTTGAAAAAGGTTTAACTGTTTTCCATTAGATAGTATCAAAAAAACTATCATAGTTGAAGTTGATGGAATATAAGAAAGTCTCTGACATTTCATATTATGGAGTTAAACTAGGTAAAAATACTGATATTATATGGGGTTTTGACCAACATTAGCTGACCAGATATCTCAATTTTGTGTAAAGGACTCTGGAAATATTTTTTGAGAAAAATAGTGGGTAATTTGATGACATCAGATACTTATATATTTACTTCCTGCATATGGGTGACAGATGACAGCTATAAGTTTTCAACATTCATCAAATCAAAGCTGCAATTTCAGGGTCTGGGCCCACTCACAAATAACTGAGGCCTGGTGACTGAAAATCTACCTACACCCCCAGAAAGTACTTTTACATTATCCTTAAGACCGTCAGAAGCACACCCAGATATCTGGGGCAATTTCCAGAAGACCCAATATAAAACTTGACTATATTGTATTAGGTGGGCATAGGATCTCTTAATTAAAAAAAAAAAAAAAAATTCTACTATTGTGTGATAGTGATTAAATCGCAACCCTGTAGTTTCAGACCATTTTCTGAAACAATTATTAGTATTTAGGTGCCCAGATAGTTCATATGATGGAGTTCAAGATAGACAAAATTAGAACAGGGTTAGGGTTACTGGATTGGTCCATTTTTTAAATCACTTTTTAAAATATGCATGGTTAACTAATGATAAGGAAGTGATATTGAAATTTGGTAGCACTAAACTTTACCTAACAAGCTTCTGCCAGAAAAGATGTCAGGGTCAAAAGAGAGAATATAATGTACTTAGTTTATTGGGTTATTAATAGTTTTAGATTAGTATGACATAAGGCCTCAATCTTATTATAGTACTGATTTTTTTTTTTAACTAAATTCAGAGAGGCATGTTGAAGGTACATTTTTTCTTTTATAAATTTCCAACATCTGCAGTTGAGCAATTGTAATGTCAGAAAATTTGTACATTCACAGTTAAATGGGCTGAACTATTTTTGTCGATATTATCAAGGCCTTTGTTTAAGAAATATCATTTTATGTACTTATAACTAGGCTTCATATGATCTTGTTGTGATAGTGAGTTTTAAGTGTTGGTTTTGCAAACTAGAGGTTACAATTCAAATCTTAGTGGAGATATGATCTATCTCAACAAATCATTTTATAGACTATCCAAGCATTTAAGATTTTGAATTAAAATTTGATGATGTTTAAAGATGATGTGGTTATTCTGTAGAATTCTGACCACATATAAGAGATGCTGTGCAAAAGTTTGGAGAATTTCAATTGCATACAAAAACAAAATGTAGTACAGATTTTGCCATAACTTTTTGTGAGCCAAGGTGCAAACACCAGGAAGAGATTATTTCAAAAAAATTTTTTTTAAATACTCAGATACCCTGAACTTTCAGGTAGCACATTGTATATGTCTGTGTCATGATTAGTTCCATTATAGTATAAATACTAATAACAGTCCACCATGTCCTGTTACACTACCTGGTCACTTTTCTGGCAGGGAGGAGGAGCCAGAGAAGATTTTTTATTACATTTGTAAGATTTACTTTAATTGGAAGGTAAAATAGGGGTGTAAATTTATCAAAGGGATTATTCAATGAATCAATCTGACTAGTATCTTTGTCTTTGCTGTTTTGATCAAATCAATATGCTTTAGCTGGTGAGCTCTCTAACCTTCCTCATTAAATACTGCATTTGGTAATCTTCAGTCCTTACTCTTCTGAATCTCTCTCAAGTCAAATAAAGATTCTTCAGTTAGTATAATTTTTATTTTTTGAAGCTTACTGGATAGATCAGACATCTAAAGAACATTGGTGAGCTTATCAGCAAAAATATAGTCTTAGCTAACATAATACATACAACAAATTCTTGTTTTGATTATAAAGGATATTATGGGTATGTATCATATAACAAATAATATATTGAAGAAAATTTGAGGAAAAATATTAATTTTAAGAAATTAAAGGATATTCTAAAATTCTCACAGAAAATTATTTACTGCATATTTTCATAATGTGCAAAATTTTCAAAAGTAATCTCTTTTTCAAGCATTTATTTATTAACAAGTAGCAAGGTAATCTGGGATTACTTAGAAGAGTACAATTTTAACATGCCTTTGATTTTTATTTATAAAAATTGCATTAGTCTGCAATTTCAAATAACTAATATCTGCAACAGTAATGTTAATAATTTATACACAACAAATTTGACACTATAATTCATATGGTATAACAAAGAAAGACATGATAGTTTTGTATTCAGAATAGTGATATATATTGCAAAATACTTCAAACATATCATTTACTTACTTGATAGAGGTCTATTGCATTTGTTATTGTCAGTCAATTTCACATGTGTGCAGAGTAACTTTAAATTCACAATTCAACAAAAATGACAAAAAATGTTTTTGCAAGATGTTTAAATACCTATTGACAAATGGTTTGTCTTTCTAGTACATGTTGAATGCCAAATATTAAATAAATATTGTTTTTAATGTAGCTCTGATATATATTTAGTAAAATCCTATTTTACTCACATGGCAAATACAACCTGGTTTAATTTAAAATTCTACATATTCTACATATCCTTGGTATTCCAGAGCCTTTATAAAAAACCTGGCACAAATTACATTCATGTAGCAAATATACCCTGTTTTAAAGTTACTTGAAATTTACATATTGGTAGTTTGAATTACTATCCAGTTGTCTTTCATAAAGTGTTTTCAGTTTGAAAACTGGATTACTGCTTGGTTTAAGGTGACAGAACATGGTTTTTATTTTGTAAGTAGACTTTATATGAGACTTAAGTTGTAATTACCACCATCCATTACTGACTTTTTACAGACCCTAATGAAAAGCACAACTTTGAGTATTAAAAGAAAAAAGTCTAACACAGAGAGTCTGTTTGCATTTTCTTTGGATGTGTGTGGTTATGCACAAAAATGGCAATGTATTAAATTTCTTAACTGAAAAGTCAGTGAACAAGGATTTTACAAACTTTTATATGAATGTTGATTTGTTTTTTATGAGAACAAAAAGAAGGTTGTCATTTTTTAAAGAAATTTCTGAAATTGAATCTTGAAACATTTTTGGAAAAATTTGTTAGTTTTTCATTTAGATGTTTTAATATTTTGAACAGGGAAGAAAGGGGTTTTTGTATATCAAGTCTTCTATATTTTAGTCACAATATCTTTGAGTTATTTTAAAAGATATTCTGATCAAGCATGTAATTAAGTATTGAAGGACTGTAACAGAAAATGAGCAGACAAAAAGGTGTTCAAATTCCAGGAAGTATATTTTTGGAGTGCTTGACTACTGTTTATCAGGCCCAGGGTCCCATGATTCTGGAGGAAGATGACAGCTTGAATAAAACAATTGACTAAATGGAATCGATAAACACACATACTACAGTGTTGGTAATTATGGTGGCAAAGAATGAATTCAAAGAAATCATCAGAATAGCTAATAATTTAAATACGATAACATTGCTTATTATTATGCTAGATCCACCTTCAATAAACAATTATATTCAACCTAATTATAATTAATGGTAGATAAAATAGTATTAAGTAGTAATTTATTTATTTTGGTGATCCAATTGTTAAATGTGGCTTGAGGGGTACTTGTCAAAATATTATGATGAGATTGCATCACTATTTAAGTCAATTAGGCTTATTCCATTTAGTCAAGTTGTTTTATTAAGTTGTCTTTTGTCAGACTACATACTTGCTAAATGGTAGTAAAGCCTATTTTTGCTTTTGCTTCTTAATAAATTTGCAGGATAGAAAGAAAGATGTCAGAAATGGAAGTGGATTAGCTAATCTGTATTTCACCCAGATACAACTGGGTTTCATATTATATAGACATTATACATTATTATAGAGACATTATAGTGAGTACAACTGTTTAAAATTTAAGTAAAACGTTTTTTTTTGAGAAAGGGAAAACAATTAGGGACTGCACTTTGAGCTTAGGTTTAAAACAAAGTATAAAGGCCTAGGTATAGAGTTTTTTTTTTTTTTCATAATTTATAGGACACACATCTAAACAGGTCTTTCAGTTATTATATATTCATGCATTTCTTGTCACATTAAATTGAAAAAGACAAAATTTATCTAACTCCAATAAGGATCTCTGATGATGTTTTAAACTGGATAATACCAGATAACCTTGCTGATTGAATGCTCTAAAAAGGCTCAAATGCAGAGGTTTGCAGGACAAGTTCACATTCATAGAGTACTTAGTGAGAAACAAAATTACTATCAATGACCTGCAAGGCAAACATGCTGATCATTATTCGCAAGAAATGCTCTGCAAATATCCATTATTTACCAGTGGGAGTTAAAAGACTGACCATAATGAGAGATGGTTTTATTTTTTGAAGCAAGATATTAAATAATAGAAAGAGATTAGGCTAATACTTGGACAGATGCATATTTCAAGACTTTTTACAACATCCCCTAGAGAATATCAGACAAAATAAATTGACAATTATTTGCAAAATGATATATTTTGTTAGTGAATAACTCAAGCCCCATGACTATAATGGCAATTTCTTTTTTTTTTTAAATGTCATGTTCCTTCCTTCAGAATGTAGATGATCATGATTCTCTATATTTCTTTAATATTTACAAATTGCCAAGGCTTTTCTAGGAAAAGTTAGTGGTTCCTGATTGACTTCTCTACAATTTTTAATTCCAGAAATGTGGTTGCTCTTCTAGTTATTAACCAAGGCTAAAGAGCTCTGTTTGCCCTGCTTTTGAATTCATAGCTACTGCAGAAGATATGGATTCATGCTTTTCTCAAAGTGTCTATACAGTGTGAAGTGAATATTACAGTCTTGGTTGGAAATTGAAGTTGCCTATTTTCCATTCCAATAACCATTTCATCACCTGCACATACACAATGGTAAAAATTGTTTAGTTAAAAGCCTTTTTTCTTTCTTTAAAAAAAAAAAAAAAAAAAAAAAAGACAAAAAAAGCACTATGTGTTGGATTTGGAAACAATTTTTAAAGGTTGATGTTGGTGGCACTGTTCAGTTCAAAAGTATCTGGGTGATGAAGAAGCCTTCCAAAATTTGTTTTCCTCTCTTTTTTTTTTCAAATAAGTTTTAACAAGATGAAATTTGCTGTCAAAAATCTCATGAAAGGGATATGCATTTATTACAATATTGTAGTGTCCAAGTAGTAACAAAAATTAATGTGAAATCAAAAGATTTATAAAGAGAACAAAGGAAAGAAAAAATAAGTGATCTAAGAAATACATTAAACAAAAATTAACCAGGTTAATTGATACTACCTCTGTCCCATGATAGTTGTTACATTTAGTGTAGGAAAGGTGCATGTAAATGTAACAATGGATAGAGGATTTAGTACAGCTTTTATAACTATTAAGATGACCTTATTTGATTAACCTTTCTTCAAGTTTTTAAATGATTCCTGGTAGGTTCAAAGTATTTAATTCCATTTGGGTTCACCATTATATTTTAAATCAGGAATAGTGGGATAAATAGTTTAAATAAGGAGCTAATAAAAAAAAAAAATAAGTGGAGGGAAGGATAGAAGAATATACTTTTTGTTAAACAATTGTAATATAAAGCTTGTAGAAATCAAATGTCTTATTTTAAGTTGATTTTATCTCTTGAGAGAATATGCAATGTATTCATAAAGGCCAGAGAGTCAATACTTCCATTCAAAAATATTGCTTTCATTTAAGTATTAAGAAGTTTTGCCAAAAAGAAAATGTTTCATATCTTATCTACTTTCAAAAATTCTTTTATTCAATGAAATATGTGTGTGTATACACATACATTCATACATACACACACATACATACACACAATACTGAGGAAAACAAGAAAAGGGTTATATTCAGTGGTGGGATTCAACTGGATTAGGGGGGAGAAAAAAAAAAAGAAGCAGTTACTAAAATTTCCACAGAACCAATTTCTGGTCTGTTGTAAAATTTAAGTTTTCTCTTATCTATCATCAATTTTAAAAAAAAATTTCAACCCAAAACAATTTTCCTAAATTAGGTACTATTATAAAAAAAAAAAAAAAAAAAAGACTCAAGGTCATTTTTTTTTTGTTTATTTAATTTAGTCTATTTTTGTGTAAGGACATAAAAAAAATTTGAAGCACGATAACTAAAATTATTTCTTATATATTGTTTTTTAATTCCATCAACAACCAGTTTCTAAAACCTTTGAATCCCATCACTGCTTGTAGTGTTTCATTTATCTACTTGCAACATGTGTATGTGTGCGTATATATATATATATATATATATATATATATATATAGCATATGAATATTTAATGTACATTGGCCTTGTAACCAAAAAAGGAAAAATTGTATTGTTTCTCTTATCTACTTTCACCATTTCATTAATTCAGCTTTGAAGAGGGAAATTTCTCTGTGTGTGTGTGTATATGTATATATATATATATAAAAGCATGTGAATGTTTAATATACATTGGCTGTGTAACCAAAAGAAGAGGTTGTATTGTTTCTCTTATCTACCTGGGCTAATTTTACTTCAGTTTCCTCATCAACGTTCTCCATGTGACTCTTGCTGCCCACACGTTGCAACACAGCCTGTCGAATATGCTGTAAATTTGAAGAAAATTATTCAAATAAATCACTTGACTGACTAGCTCAACAAGGCATAGCAATTCTCAACACCCTAGCACTAAGAGGCAGTGGGTGGGGAAAATGTTTGGAAGAGGTTGGTGGGTTGGAATTTGGGATTTTATTAAATTTGGAAATACAAGGCAAAAAGGAGAAGAAAATATTTCTTTCCTTGTTCTTTCAATTCTTACTTAATATTATTTCTTATTCTTCTACTATTAGATATTTATTGGTATCTATTTCTTTTTAATTTTTCTTCCAGTTCTTGCAAATCTTTATGGCTGTTTTGTTTATTGGCTACCAAGTTTGATTAGCTTATAGCTATCAACAAAATAATCCTTTCAAACAAAGATTAATACATTGTTCTGCAGATAATGTTTGTATATTCTATTCTGATTCTGTTATTTAATTCTAAATTATTAGTTTTGTTGTGATGACTCCATTTAATTATTCTTTGTACAGTCTCTTGATTACTTGAATAATTAAACTAAAATAAAAAAAATATAAGTTTATACAGACTTCATTATGCTTGTTAACTGATTACAAGCAACAAGTATTTTCACGGTATGATATGTTATATATCATACTTGTTTTCATAGAAATATACAATCATTATTTTATGGCACATCAACTCTTCTAAGGTAATTTCAAGGTTTCAAAATATGTTCTGGCTCTCAATCACATATCCAAAAAATTTCAAATATTTAAAAATGTAATTTGCTAAGACTGATGTCATTTTCAATATCTTGAACTTAAATCTTAATTACAGTATGTTAAATTGTTTATCTAGGTACTCTCACAGCATTTTTACAGGTGATGACAAAAATAATATTTTTTCATTGCAGAGCATGGTTGTTCAGAATTAACTTAAAGTTATAAATATCTGTCATTACCAAACAATTGCCCAAAACAGCTTGAACCAGTCAAGTGACATCTTAATACTCAAATTGATAAACTGAGAATGTCCAAAGGGAAATGAACTAGTAACACAGGCCATATCCATGATAAATTTATATTACCAAGCAGATGACTGATTAATTGCTTTATTTCTTGATTAAAAAATATAAAATTTGGGGTAATATTTTAATTTTTTTTTAATAATTTGATTTCCTGAAAAATCTTCACAAAAATATTTTCTTTTTATATAGCATAAATCTACAATGCAATTTAACAAAGAAAACTAAAATGTAGCTGAGTGAAACAAAGTAATCATTTAAGTTTATTTTGTATTTTAAAATATTCTGAATTAGAGCACAACTTTGAACCATGCTGAGCTTGAAAAAGAAAAAAAAAAATTTAACTGATTTTTATTATCCAAGGGATTATCTTTTGAAACAAATTTTATTTACAAAGCAAAACAACATTTTGAGATTTCATAAGGGATTAATTTAAATTCAATAATATTTTTTTACATTAATGAAATATTTAAATAAATAATAAATGAATACAGTCATCAATGCAGTAAGTACAGAAAATTAGTGGGAATTTTCATAGATTTTTAAAATGCCACTTTAAATTTCAACTCAATTTTTATAAATTCTTTAATATATGAAAAATATTTTTTTTCAAATCAATATCTTCCTTTCTCTCTAACAAAATGCTTTTTATATGAAAATATTATTACATATTTGTTCTTTCTAATGTTATAAAGTTTGTGAAATTTTAATATGCAATTTTTGACCACTGATGTCAATCTGACAAAGATCTATGAAAATAATATAAAATAATATATATATATATATATATATATATATATATATATATATAAAAAAAAGTAAGACATTTACTGTTTTGTGAACAATTGTAAAGTTTTTAACATCTACTGTAGTTTGGGGATTCATATTCTCCAGTCAGCTGCTATGGGAGTGCTTTACAAGCCGAGAATATGTGTAATATATTTTACATTCAAGCTTAATTTTTCTAAGATTATTTTTTGCTTTTTAGATAGTAGCCATTTTTTAAAAACATATCTATTCTCTTCAAATTACCACATTTTTAAAATAATTTACATGTCTGAGATTCTAAAAAAACATTACAACTTACAACAGTAGTCTTTTCAAAATTGCAGAAAATAAATATAAAAAACTGTAAAGATAAACTTTTCCTATAAGAAAATACAAGAGAAAACAACTTTATACCACTGATACTTTCAAAATAGATTACTTTTAAGAGGAATGTATACCATTAGTAAAATCAAAAATAAAATAATTTTTGAACATTCAAAAATAGTCAAATAAAAATATTTGCTTGCATAAGTATTTTTCACAACTAAAATAATTTTGTACAGTTGAGTGGAAGAGACTAGTAATATCAGTGATAATGATATGAATCATCCCCACCTTCCCTCAAGCAAAGGCAGCAAAATTAGAAGAATCTACTCCAACAGAGTGAATTTGGGTTGTTTTGAAATTCACACATTGTTACCAACTATGACAGGAACCTGAAAAAAATTCATCAGGTATAATGGCTAAAATGTTGTGACTATAAAATTAAAGATAAGGACAAATTAGTGTATAATACTAGTGCATAATAAGATAAAATAATACAAAAAAATGTATTTTCAAATGTAGATCTACATTAACCAGTTGATAGCAAACTTTCTTTCCAGTTAGTGTGCTATTAAAAATTTAGCCTAGGGTCAAAAAAAAAAAAAAAAAAAAAACTATATTGAATGAGGCCCACACTCACAATCAGAGTGAGTGAGTAGAATGCAACATTATTTGTTGACCATTGCTCTACAGTAGGTAACTAATGTTTTCACCCACTTTAGCTTTGTCTAGTACAGAGACAATTCAAGCCCCATGGACAGTAAGGCTAGTTTTTTCAGCATTCCTTTATGGTAGATAAAAATCTAAATTTTAATAAATGTTGACCCAATACAAGGCCAAAAAAGCCACTCAAGGTAAAGGGTTACTAGATGAGCTAGTTGTGCAAAATACATTTTAAAAGTAAACAGCTTGACTGTTATAAATTATAAATTGTGTCAAAAACAATCATAGTAAATGTCTCAAGAATGAAGTTGTACTTTAACTGGCTGTTTAATTAAAATTTAGAAATACACAGATAAGCAACCTCAAATTCAAAATTCTGAAAAGCAAATAAATTTTTACTAATGAAACTAAGCTGTTAATTTAATGGTGTACCATTTCAATTTGTATAAGTAAACTGTAATATTATTCAGTTTTAATTTACCCAACTCAGTGTAAATATTTACAAGGTTCACTGCAGAGACATTACTCTTCTCTAACAATTGACTAAACTGTCTACTCTCATTGGTGCCTCAGTGTGAATGCCTTGTGCCATACCAAACTTGGTAAATGACTACTTCATTGTCTACTGTATGTACAGTATCCGTCAAATCAAAACTCAATTTTGAAGAAGCTTTAGTTCTAGTTTCAGATAGAGATTGTATATTTGTAATGCAAGAAATTATTCAAACTTGTAGCAATGAGATCAAAGAGATTTCTTTTCCTTTCATACCTACCAATAACTTTTCTTACAAATAATACCATATTTATTTAGTTCTTTTGTTTTTATGCACAAGAATTTTTGTATCATCAATTTTTATTGTCTGCAATCACAAAAAGACAATGCTTTTGAAAGTTTAAAAAATATGTATTCCAAGTGCAGGGTTAGATTTAAAATAAGTAAATAAAAAGATTACCTAAAACTAGAGAATATTTTTTTTTTTACCTGACCTCATATTTCAACAATGTTAATGGTTTTTCTGAGGTCATGAAAAAATACTTGTCAAGCAAGAAGAAAATATGCTTATGATATTTACAACCTAAACTACTAACATGAAAATATATTACTAACACTTATGTTTCTAGTCATATAGTTGAGAAGAAAATTTGTCAACTAAATGAACTTTTGATAATTTCTAGGTCATATATTAATTTTCAAGAATTATTATTAATGAACAAAGAAAAAAAAAGTAAAAGAAATTATTTTCTTAGTATTAGGTCAGGTAAATTTTTTTTTTTGAATAGCCTATAGCTGTTTGTTTGTGAGTTGAGGTGGGGTAGACATGAAAAAAGTTACCGTATATGCTTTGGATCTTAAAATAATACCCTGGACTTTTGACTTATCCCTGAGATAGCACCTGTTCATTGCAGCAAAAGCTTAATTGAAATAAAAGAATGTCTGTTATCAGTCGACACAGCCTTTGTAATTGAAAAGGTGGATAGAAATTCTACATCTGAATTTTAGAGAGTTGAACTTGTATATCAGCATATACGGTAAATAATGAAAAGGAATAAGAATGGAGTTTCCAACATGCTGTAAGTAATTTCAAGGGAAGAGGAAAATAGCTAGCAACTACAGCCAAGACAAAAAAAAAAAATCATGCTTTCTTTGAACCAAAGAGAAAGAGAGAGCATGCTTCATTGAAAAAAGAAAAAAGACAATCATTTTAATCAATGCATACATGAAAATATACAAAGAATTATTTAAATAATAAAACGATTTATAGATATATAAGGAGTGGCAACCAGAAGTGGATATGCCCATTTTTGGTGAAAATATGTCCTAATATTTAGTTGTCCTTTGTGCCCTGAATGCTTTAAGTATTTATGCCCATATCCTATTAGAAAGAGCTTCATATTCCTTATAAAATGTGTATGGCCCGTTACCCAAATAACTGTTCCCAAACAGAATTGACAATGCCAGTTTTAAAATTTCTTAAACAGTTTAGACATAACCATTTCTGGTTGACAGACCTCATATAAAGAATGTCTATATCAAGTATGAAGGTGTGTGTGTGTGTATATATATATATATATATATATATATATATATATATATATATATATATATATATATTACTCAAATATGAAACCAATATGATGTGTATAGACACATGTGGGAGTGTGCAGAGTTATACATAGTGTGTGTATGTATGTATGTGTTTTTATATATATATAAAACACAAAATATAAATTTTTGAAGAAAATAGATTTTTTTGCACTTTGGCAATG